TATCTGAATTGCAGTTTCCCAATTGATACGGACATCCAAATCCTCGTTGTTGTATTGGCGACTTGTATATAATTTTTCCTTTTCTGATTAATAAAAATCCACTATCACCAACATTAGCAGTAACTATAGTATTTTTCACCGAGTTATGAGTTATAATACAAGCAGTAGACGATCCTTTTGAATTTGTGTTTTTGTATGCTTCTTCAAGAACCCTTTTAGGGTTCACATGACCTTTCATTGCTTCATCATATGTAGCGATAAATGAGTTCTTCATAAGCTCTCTCGCGTATATTCCAGCGTCAATCCCTTGTAGTGCCCAGCCACCAACACCATCAGCAACACCAATAGTTTGGTATAGTTCATGCATGGAGTGTGCATCTTCACCTAAAGGCTTGTTTGGATTGTCTTTAGGTAAGTATAAAGATCCAACCACCATTTTTAGGCATGGTAACTTGTTACTACTAAATTCATCATCATGACTAAATTTGAGTTTCTTGTTACTATGATTTTCCGGATTATCATAATTAATTGCATGAGAAGAGAAGTCGAAATATCTCTTATAGCGTGACAAGTTGAAAAGTTTATCGAATTTTATTTTGGAAGAATATTGATCATGACCTAATGATGAAATACATGCAGCCATTGTTGTGTTGATTGAAAAACTTTGGGAAGTAAAAATTATGTAATGGAAGTAGGGTTATAACTAATATATATATATATACATACATTACGTTGCAATTCTATGTAGAATAGGTTATGGAAAAACAAATTTTGGTAACTTTTTAATATGGAAAATTTAGAAAATAACCTGTAGTAATTAATTTAATCCTACTTAGAAGTTAGAACAGGTTTGGGAAACAAAGTTATATTTTTGGAAATTATCTAAGTGAGATGTTATGGAAAAACAACTTTTGGTAACTTTTTAATATGGAATATTTAGAAAATAGCATATAGTAATTAAATCATACTTAGAATAGGTTTGGGGAACAAAGTTTTTGGAAATTGTCTAAACAACTAGAAGAAGGTAATCCTCCTGCGTAAGGGAGTGAAAAGAAAGTGAGATTTTATCTTAACATAAATTTGCAAATAAGAACATTGTTGTGCTCTCTAATTATCACTCCGTTTGTTATATTGCCATAAAAACTCTTAGTATCAATATATATAAATGGAAAAAAGGTCAAAATTGCCGCTAAACTATGCGAAATAGATCACTTATACCTTTGGTTATATTTTGGCATAAAAAATGCTCCCGCCGTTATCCTAATAGACTACAAATATCCTCAAGAGTTCACAACCCAAGCTGGAATAACTAGGATTCACATCGAAAAAATAGACCTTTAGCAGGAACAAAAGTCACCACAAAATCCCAGAATATCGTCACTAAAGATTTTCATTGATTTTTAACGTTAAATTATGATTTTGTGTTTTTTCTTCATTGTTTTTTAAAAAAATCACAAATGATATCGATCAAGGTGAAGTTTGAAGACACTATATATTTTATTTTTATGACATGTAAATGCATAAAATGTACAATAATGCATTATGTAGTGGGAGATTTGAGTCGGAAAGTAATTTTGATGATTTTCATAATAATATTGGATGTTTTTAATATTGATAGTATATGTTATTTATTTTAGAAAATTAGGTTGCAACCGAAAATTAATTATCATATTTTTTTGTTGAAAAAAAAAGATTTTACTAGCGAATGACTATTGCAGCTAGCCTTAGTCGCCACTAGAAATCACTTAGAACCTTTAATGGCTATAGTTTGATATTTTGTCGCCGCTAAAGGTCTAGTATATAATATAAATAAGGGCTCATCTTCTTCGCACTTCGCACACTGAAATCTAACTCAAAAACTTGTGTGAGCTTATTCATTTTTTCTTACAGTACACTTTCCTTTACAGTTGCTCTTTTATTAACATAATTATTATCCTCGAGAATTCTTTCAAATAAAACTAAACCATCAAGTTATTCTATTTGGTGATCGATGTTGATGACGATAAATGTTGATTTTCATTCGAATCTAGCTGTTTTTCTATACAAATTGCATTTGATGTAAACAGGCAACAACTTTTATTAAATTCGTTATCAACGTCAATGATATCCTCCTTGCTTATATGTTCTACAAATGTTATTAGATATTTTGTCCACCTTTAAAGGTATAGAAACATCTAGACAACTATGGTCTACTCACGTTCGTTTCTCTTCTGCATTTCTCTTGCCCGAGTAGTTCCTCCATGACAACGCTTCAGATTTAACTCAGTTACTCCCCATTTGCAAAAATAATCATAAGTCTCTTCTAAACTCCTTTTCTCTTATCAGTTAAGTTTCAATTGTTACCTAAAATTTAGATTTGAAGATACATTTGATCCACTGCTGATTGATATTTTTTCTTTCAGAATAATCACTACTGCTAGATAGAATAATGTCCAGCTATCAGTTACAGGTCTATATATTCAGGCGATGTTGGCAATTCTTTTGACATTTAGTTTTAGTTTTCTGCTTGTATAATTCTTTAAATGCAATCTGCTATTTCAGAGTACTTTTTCCCCATCTCCTCCTTCAAACTTTTCACAATCTCTACTCTGAGTTTTTTTCTTCTTCTCTTCTGTCTTCTTACAATTTCATGTATGATTCTCTCTCAAATATTGCTCGAATCTTTTTTCTTTTTTTTAATCTCGGTCTTCTTTTCTTTCGTATTTGCGTTCTTTTAACAATTTTCGATTTGATGACTGAATTCCTTGTTGTTATTGTTCTTGGTGATATTCTTATGCCTATAGAGGGAAGAAATTTGAAACTTTTTACTGAAAAAATAGCATTTGTTACTTTTATACGATTTTTTTTTTTGGCTATTTTCAGCATAATCTTTTAATGAAAGTTCTCTTCTAACCCTTTTGTTTCAGCCAAAAGATCTTACAAGTTTAAAATAGAGAAAAAAAATAGCAAAATGTAGTGAACTATAGTTTTCTTTCAACTTTCCTTTAACTTTTGGTTGCTATGTTTTTTTTTTAATTTTTCTTTGAAAGGTATGTTGTGTGTAAAATATCTATTAGGATCAGATAACAATGAGTATTGATTTCATGTGCATTAGACTTCTTTTTGATTTTTTTAAAAAAGTCCCTTTTTTTTTTTTTTTTAGTTTGCGAGCTATTGCATAGGAGCGGGGATTTTACCCTGTGCGCACCCAAAGGATAGCAGCTGCGGGTTTCCCTTGATGTTAACACCGAATCTAATAATTTTTATGGATGAATAAAATAAACTCTTTTTTCATCTCCTGTCAGTTTTTTTCATTCACTCTTCTTTGTTAATATATTTGAAAAAAACATCATAGCTATAGATTAATGATAATTTTATAGTTATAGATGATCATGTTTTTGAAATACTCTTCTCAAAGTTACCGCATTTGTTCTTTCTGAATGTAGAACAATTTGATTCGTGTTATCCATATTGTTTGACTTAATAGTAATCATCTTAGTAGAGAGACGGTTTGTTCACTGTTTTGATTCGATAAGAAAGAAATTTGAATTTACAATGCTTCGCCTTTACAAGATGAACCAACCCTAGTCTTTTTTTACTCCCAAGCACACAAAGTTGTTGATGGAGCTCTTCTTACTCTCAGCTGAGAACTTTAATTGTATGCATTCACAGAGTCAGTCGAGAACGAAGTATTTATAATTACATGTAAGTTTGATCTCTGAACAATTAATGTTTTCCTGAACAGAAATAAGTGAGGAGGTGTTCATTGAAAATTTTCATCATATTTTTGCATTAGTCTATTAGTTTGATTTTTCCCGCAAACCATATGAAAGCTGAATGAATAATGAATAACAGTTTCTTGGTTTCTGATCTCTTATGTTATGATAAATTGATATTATGAGTGACAATAGAATTGCACATATTTCAGGTAAAATCAATAAATCGAATAAAAAAATGTTATTGATTTCTCCATATTGTGTTTTTGATGTAATGGTTCAGAACGATTTAGCACTATTGGACTTTAGGATTATCAGTTTAGGACTCGAATTGTCCTATTTCCCCAAGGAGTTGTTTGGTGTGAGGTATAAGAAATTCTAGGGATAAAATCTTGCATTTGGTTAGAGGTATTAGGCAGTTTTGGAACTATTTATCCCACTCTTTATACCTTAGTGATGAGATAAGTTATTCCATATATATGGTGGAATAACTTATCCCAGGAAAACTCAGGATAATTAATTTTGAGATAACTTGTTTCCAACCAAATGACCCTTAGCGGTTCAACCTATAACCCGATAAACTTATTATAATAATAAAAAAACCCATGAAATTATAAGTTAATGCTTCCAAATAAGCTAATCAGACATAGCTTCCTAATGTTGCAAGACCTATAATTAACATCTACAATAAAGAGCTTCTTTTAATGATAAGTTAGTACATCTGACAACTTGATAATTTTGAAATCACTACTAAGTTAATGATAAGAAATTCTTACAAGTTATCTTTTGAGTGAGGTTCACATATATGTGAGTTGAAGAGTTAATACTTTTAAATGTGGTGTCATTAGTTAATACTTAATCAATAGACTCAAGATAAACTATATATATAAATGGTTGGTGTCCAAACTTGTCTAACAATTTGTGTAACTGCCACCTACTAATGCTTCATAAATTACTGTAAGTATATTTTTGATTTAATTGCTAACTGCTACTCCCTCCGTCCCTATTTAGTTGTCCATATTTCCTTTTTTAGTTGTCCCTATTTAGTTGTCCATTTTGACAAATCAAGAAAGGACAACAATTTTTTTCCTATTATACCCTTATTTACACTTCTTGAAAATTTCTAAAAGTGTATGTTGTTTCCCTCCAATTTATTTCACTTGAATTCAAAGAAGTGGTTGTAATTTTGAAGTGAAAATTGTCATAAGGGTAAAATTGTAACTTTACTGTGCTAATTATTGTTGCCTTAATCTGTGTGCCATTTCTAAAGTGGACAACTAAAAAGGGACGGAGGGAGTACTACATATATGGTGTATGACATAAGTTTCCTGGCATGTAATAACTTTCTGTTTCTTCACCACATTAAGATTTCAGTGTCTTTATATCTATCATTTTCTCTGACAAAGTGTGCTTAGTTTTCAACAAGAACTAATTATTAGACTTCATGTTCTTTTTTTGAGGTATCATTTTGTGGGTTGCAGCAAATATTACTATTTCCCGTTTCAAATTTTGGTGCCCTTTTTAAATGTGATCACATTATATATATCATTTCTGAGAACATAATTATTATGCTGATAATTTACAGGTTAGCTTTGTGAGTTTTGTTTCCATATAAAAAGCTTTCTTAAATTTAAATTATTTGCATAATGCTGAAATTCCTAATATTTATGTACTTGCACATTTCTTTTGAATTGATTTTATATATTTATTAGTTAATTTTTTATTGGTATCCTCTGTCAGTGCAGTAAGCTTAATTTTATGAGGGAGCTTTTAGAAGACTATTCTTTTCTTATTGATCTACTTATTAATCTGATTTGACTTTGTATGCTTTGGACTAAGTTATAATCTTTTGAGTAATAGATTTAATTCATGTTTCCATCTCTTCTTTAGTTGGAAAGTTTGAAGCTGAAGCATTGGATTAAATACATATTCTGTGATTTTGAGTGCAGAGCACATTTAGCTAGCTTTGTGGATCGCATTGACAACAAACAATCCTCTTCTTTATTATTACTATTTCTTAGTATTATATATACAGCGGAGGGAAAACTTTATTCGCAAAAAGGTAAACATCTGAATTTTTAGAATATTTTATTTATGTCTAATCTGTACTTCTTATCTATCTATCAAAATAAGAAGACAAAAAAAGGTAGCACTGATTCTCTATGAGGTAAGTTGTGTGATTCTAAGTTCATCGCCATTGTTGGTAAAGGAGTTAAAATATTACTCCATCCGTCCCATTTTATGTGGCACTTTTCAGATTTCAAGATTCAAACAATTCTATCTTTGACCGTAAATTTTTCATACATCTTTTAAATATTTTGAATTATCAATTATTGTGACTTATAATACTTTTTACGTAGTTTACAAATATATAAATTTCATTTCAAAAAATTGAAGATTTCATGCGTAAATTCCCGTTCAAACTTAAATTGTTTGACTCTCGAAAAATAAAAAATATCACATAAATTGGGACTGAGGAATTACTATATGTAAACCTCTTCCATGTTGGTCATGTCTTAAAGAGTGTAGGCAATGATTAATTTCCTCATCTCTTGGTGACACTATCACAGCCAAAATGTAGAGAGAATTCATTTGAAGAACAATCAAGCTTATTCAACTCTAATATGTCTTGTCAAAAATAAAGTTCTATAAAGGTGTTTATTTAAGGAAATTTTTTCCCTTCTTATAACCTAGGTTCAAAGTATGTCGATTGTTGGGCATGAAGACTGTTAAAGACAAATTAAGCAGATGGAGAAATATCCACTCTTCAGTCCAATGGAAAGTTCTTTCACATCGACATTAATATTTTTTAAAGGGAAAAAGGATGAATTTATCCCCGAACTTTGATAAATGGTACGTCTATGCCCTCCGTAATACTTTGGGTCCATCTCAGCCCCTGCCGTCCAATTATCGGTACACACATGCCCCTCTCACTAACGATCCCCTCATCCTGTACACGTGTTTTAATCCTAATCAACTATCCGTTTGACCATTATTTTTAACCCATAAACTAACAACCCGCCCCATAAACCCATACCCACCCGATTCCCTCTAAAAATATCCTAAAATCAATTAAAAGATCCAAATCTTCCAGGTCTCTCGTTCCTCTCACAATAGAGTTGAAAAATGAGAATTGAGTAGTACTTTTATAGTACTGGTGAGAGATCTCACGGCGGTGATGATGTTGATGCTAATGTTGTTGATGATGAGAAGTACTTTGATAGTACTGATGAGAATCCTTCTCAACCGGAGGAAGAAGCTGAAGCAGCGTCGTGGATCCTTCCGACGCTGAAAGAAGGGAATGATCAGATTTATTACTTGTTTAATGATATGGATTCGTATTTAGATATAGATCTAATGTCATGTGAGCAAAAATCGCATATTCTTCATCATCAACAACATCAACACGGCCATTGCAGCTTCGACGGAGTTGTGCCAGTGCAGAACAACAACGAAACAAGTACTCATTTACCAGGTCCAGTTGTTGATGGATTCCCTACCTACGAAATCGATTTCGCTGGATCTAAACCTTACATGTACAATTTCACCTCTCAATCCATTAGCCAAAGTGTATGCATTTGTATCTTCTCTCGTCTATTTCCTTCTTCCTACTTCCTTCACGTGAATCGATCTCATTTTGCTTTTGTTTAACTAACAGGTTTCATCATCATCTCTTGACGTCGGAGTTGTACCGGACCACAGTGCGATGACGGATGTATCAAACACTTTTGTGATGAACTCATCAGCCGGTGCTGGTGCCGGTGCCGACGCCGACGTTGTGCCGAATGCAGTTTCCGGTTTAGACAGAGAAGCAAGGGTAATGAGGTATAGAGAGAAGAGGAAGAATAGAAAGTTCGAGAAGACGATTCGATATTCTTCTAGAGAAGCTTATGCTGAGACTCGACACAGAATCAAAGGGAGATTTCGCTAAACGTACTGAAATTGAAATCGATTCACTCATCGCCGCCGATTGCATCATAGGGCATCGTTCCATCGTTTTAGTTTTTATATCTATTTATTATCCCTTAGTTTTAAAAAGAGATCGAAGAAAAAATCGAATTTTATTTTTCTTTTTTCTTCTTCATGTTGTTATTAGTGAGGAGGATCGTAACTATGTGTTTATATATCTAATTTTGTTTCCCATTTTGTGTAATTCAGTAGCTGTTTTTGTTGTAAGTTTAGCTCAAAACACTATTAAAAAAAATAGAAATTTGTAATGGATAAATTTTGTATTAAAATTGTATTTAATTTTGTTTAACAATGCATTATAGATAGGAACGAGAGACCTAGAAGATTTGGGTATTTTAATTAACTTAGGATATTTTAGAGGGAATCGGGTGGGTATGGGTTTATGGGGGGGGGGGTTGTTAGTTTATGGGTTAAAAACAATGGTCAAACGGGTAGTTGATTAGGATTAAGACACGTGTATAAGATGAGGGGACCGTTAGTGAGAGGGGCATGTGTGTACCGAAAATTGGACGGCAGGGGCTGAGATGGACCCAAAGTATAACGGAGGGCATAGACGTACCATTTATCAAAGTTCGGGGGTAAATTCGTCCTTTTCCCTTTTTTTTAATGATGTATTATTTAATTTATACTGCAAAATTATATCTGTAAATATTTAAAGTTATGTTATATTTTCAATCAATTATGTTAATTTTGAAGGTACTCTCCTTGATTGAGGGTTGATAACAATACATGATTGATATTTGATATTGACAATATCTGCACATTTATAAAGTAGACGTACCATTATGTTCTTCTACATATACTTTTTTTACTACTATAGCATTATGTTCTTCTGCATATACTTTTTTTACTATTATACCTTTCCAAATGACTTTACCGAGTACCCAACATGGAAAATGTAAAATGTTGGGCCCGTGTCTAGTTACTTTACTACTATATATAGAGGTTAGGGAAGCAGCTCTTCGTCGACATGGTTGCTTCCCTAGCCAAGGGTAATATGGATAATTTTTAATATTCTTTTAATGTTAATACTTAATTGATGTTGTATTTAGCTATTTTGTCATTGTACTTTTAAAATTTGGGACGTAAAAGTCCTTCTGCATTTTATTTTTCAGCCACAAAAATTTGCCCGTTTCCATGCATGTGGGCCATTCTTTTTCGCCATTTCCCCTCTATCTATTAATGCATATACATATAAATAAGGGAAAAATGTCTGATGTATATTTGAATTTTGACCGAAATTGTTTTAACAATACCAAACTTTGAAAATAACTTTTTACCCCCTACACTATTTAATAGTATATTTTAAAGGTATATATGTGTCCACGTGGATATCATAAATATTGCATCATTATAAATAATAACGTGTCCACATGAGCACATATACACCTTTAAAATACACTATTAAATAGTGCAGGGGTAAATTGAATTTTTTTTTATGGTGGTTGAGGGATAGTATGAGGTGGCATACAAAAGTTGTATGAGCCTCCTTTTATAATTTGACAAGTGGATTATTGGGTCTCATTTTTAAAAAAAAATGGACCAAAATTTTCTCTCTTTTACTTTTTAACTTTTTCCCATTACTTTTAACTTTTCAACTCCTTTTTTTTAAACCATTATTTCTAATTTTGCTATTTTTCTTATCTTTAAATAATTTTAAAAGTATAAAATTTAGTTTAATTCATCATACTCCTAACATTTGGTATTATTTTTCTATCCTATATTAATTAACTAAACTACTAAAAATAATTAATTATTTATCTATTAAGAAAATTAAACTATCATTTTTTTATTTTTTTTTCATTACCCTAGCCATTATTCTTTTTGAAATTATAAACAAAATTTGTAAAATTGTAAAAAATATATCTTAAAGAGTAAAGGGATAAGGGTTTGAAAAATACCCAACTTTGGTCAGATTTGTTGTTGCGTACTAAACTTTCATGATGACCTATTACCTCCCTAAACTATTTAATACCGTATTTTAAACATATATATTTGCCCACGTGGACATAAAAAATAATGCAAAATTATAAATAGTAATGTGTCCACGTGGGCACATATATACCTTTAAAATACACTATTAAATAGTCCAGGGGGTAAAAAATACGCTATTAAATAGTCTAAGGAGGTAATAGGTCTTTATGAAAGTTTAGTATCGCAACAGCAAATCCGACCAAAGTTGGGATATTTTTCAGACCCTTATCCCAAGAGTAAATTAGTAAATTATCATTTTTATTAATAATTTCTTAAAGAACGTATAAAAAAGTAAATAACTAATACGGAAAATGAAAGGAGTATAAAATCAATTTTTTTTCTCTTCTCAATAATTTCATAATTTTCTAATTTCGTAAACACTTAAATGTATCCATTATTATCCAACAAGAAAATATAACAGAAAAACCATCCGTAATCTTGACAAATAATTACATAAGTTTTATTTTTATTTTCGTGTAATTCAAAATCGAAAATCATCCATAAACTCCTACATACATACACTTTCTCAATTTATATGATATATTTTTATTCTTGAAATTCAAGCTATGCGAAATTTAATTAATATTTAACATGATAAGAATTGCAACTTATAGTGTTTGTTCAAAAATATAACCTTCTCACTAAGTTGCAATTCAACATAAAATATTATTAGTTGCAATTCTTATTATGTTTATATAATAAAAAATATTTTATAGCTTGAATTTCAAGAACAAAAAATAATAAATTAATAGAGAAAGTAAAATAAAAAATAAAAAAATTATATTTTAATATTTTTGATTTACAAGTAATTTTAAATAACTATTTATTTTTGTCTTAAAAATAATACAATTGATTTTGTATGGGGTTAAGAGCACAAATCTTAATTTAACTTCTTTTTAAATACGTAATTATTTGACTTATAATCTAAATTAATATTAATATATTTATCTCTATTTGATTTTTAACAAATGAACATTATGAATTATCAAAACAAGAAAGAAAATAAATTACTAATTTTTGGACATTACTATTTTTCTATTGAAGAATTGGAGAAATAATGCGCAAAAAGATAATAAATTACTTACTAATTTTAGGATGTTATTATTTTTATTGTGTAATAAAATATATTTAAAATTTTACAAAGTACTCTACATAGATGGGGGTTAAATAAAAGGTGGGGTGGAGGAGTGAGAAGAGAAATGAAAAAGTTATAAAGATATGGATCCACAAAATAAATTTTTATCTATTAAAATAATCCGTCATACAACTATGACATGGTGTGCCTCAACCATCATAAAATCTTTCGGTAAAAGGTCCTCCATAAAATTTGATATCGTAACAACAATTTCGGCCAAAGTTAAAATATTTTTTAGACATTTTTCCCTATAAATAACTTATAGGCATATAAATAACATATAGGTCCCACTTTTTATTTTTGAATACCAACTTCATTTCCTTCCCTTTATTTCTACTTCATAACTTCTTTCATTTTGTTTTTTTATGGCAAAATCATTTTTTACAATGATAATTACTTTAATTTTTTTAAATCAAATATTGAAATATTATGTCTTTTTTTAAGTTTGTTATATATCTGAAAATGTATAAATAACTATAAATCACAATGATTAACAACTTAAATATTAAAAGTTATACAAAAAAAACTTAATTGACTTTCGAAATTCTATTGGTATCAATTTATAAATCACAATAATTAACAATTTTAAAAAAATAATACATATAAAAAATTACTTGACTGTAAAAAAATATATCAATGCTACATAAATTGGGATACGAGAAATAACATATATGATATGAAAATTACATTAAAAAGATATTATAAATTATAATATATAATAATTTAATATATATAAAAGACATATAAAAATGGTTAATTTTTGAAATTATATATATGCCACGTAAATTGAAATAAAGAGAGTAATATGTATTATTTTTAAAATTATATAAGAAAATACTAATAACTTAAAATCTTTTTAAAATCATATAAAAAATTGTCTAACTTTTCAAGTTCCATGATACTCCCTTCGTCCCAAATTAATTGACTATTATTCTAAAAATAGTTGTCTCATATTAGTTTCACCTTACTAAATCAACAAAATATTATTTAAAATTTTCCTATATTACCCTTGCCATTAGTTCCTTTTGAAAGTGTCACATTTGTTTGTAAAATTCTTACAAAGTTTTTTAAGAGTTGAATTAGTAAAGTTATTTTCTTATCGAAAAAGGGTCAAAATTGCCTCTGAACTATGCGAAATAGACCACTTATACCTCAGTTACATTTTAGGATCAAAGATGCCCCTGCCGTTATCCTAAGAGACCACAATTACCCTTAAGACTTAACAGAAGTGATTTGGCAAGCCACATGGCACTAATTCTGCCACGTAGTCTTGCCAATTAGGATACCCACTAAAAATTTTAATCCAATTAATAATTGGGAAAATTGTACATAATGGCAAATTATTAATTCAAATTAAATGGTATAATCACACTTTGATTTAATTGTGTCTTGTAGCAAACTATTTGCCAGCGCCTCTCAACCTCAAACTCTCGCTCGCCACTCTCCTCTCTCGCTCACTCCCTCTCTGCTCGCCTCTCTCGCTTTATACAACAGAATTGTATAAATTGCGTTTCTG